TTATAACGAATTCATATTGAAAGTTTGAATTAACAACGTTTGTACTATTGTGCCAAGATAATGTGCAATAGATAGACAAGATAATTTTCCACGCCATCTTGTGGAAAATAGGTCATAGGGGGCCATAGAGGACCTAACCTATCATGATCGAATAACCGGTAAATGAAAAAGAATTAGAATTTTTAAAAATGGACCCACGGGAGGTATTGTAAAAATAATGATAAATATATCTAAAGAAAAATCGCGAACTAGAGTGATGAAGAGGATAACGTTGAATGCAGTATTTAATAAAATACCCATACATTAACATGTAACTTGAAAGATACAGTGGCCCATAGAGGGTTAAAATATTATATTACGAATTGATGTCAATATTTAAATATTATTATATAAATATATTAATTTGTTAACTGTTAAAAAACGTACAAGAAATTGGTTTCCATTTCTATCCACAATATGTACCTTAAGCTATGAGAAAAGTGCTTTCTGTATTTTATTTCCTAAGTTTCGTTGGTAAGATATGGTAATGGACGTGCAATCTGATTAACAAGATGACTGTGAAAATTGAGGGATATGATTAACACAGTTCACTCGAAGCATTTTGGCTGTAGGTAATTAGCAACGTGAAACTAGTTTGTTATAAATGGTATTTATCGATGGAATTTTTAGGAATGAGACGAGAGAAAAGAAACGTATATTAACCCATAGAGGGTTAATATACTTCCCCTGAGTAACATATATTATTAACCCTTTGCACTCGAGAGGTGAGCTTCAGTGACCATTTCATAAAATTTGGAAGATCGATATTAATTAGTATATCAAATTTGATATAATAGAATTCTATTATTATACAATTCTATATTTACTGTTCAAAAAGGTATCGTCAGTATTTTAGTAGAGAATCTTTGAATTTCTACATTTCTCTAGCCAAAAAATCGGCGAGTGCAAAGGGTTAATAATAAAAAAAAAGGTATCATACTAGTGATAATAACTCTGCACGCATGAAAGAAGGAAACCGAATTAAATCCGAGCGAAAGCGTGCAATTAATCGCGTCCACGTAATCTCGCAATAGCTCTTGGACCGATTTATAGTCGTCATTTACAATTGGAGGATCCCAGCACACGAGCAGCGTTTGCCACCCCTTACGGAATTCCCGGATGAAAGGGAAGGGTATGGAAGCGGAGTGAGTCGGTTTCTTCGAGATCGGTATAACGACTCTGGAGCCATGCTAGAGGGTGGAATCGTGAGAGGAGAGAGAGAGGCGTGCACGGAGGATAGGATATAAGGAGTCATAGGGCAATTCAGCAAAGTTTGGCGTCGGCCGCGCATACAAACGGCTGATATCGTGCGGCCACCCCTCGACTACGCGCTCCTCTTCTCCTCGCTTTCTTCTTCCAGCCTTTCTTCCTCGCTGCGCCAAGACAAGATGTAAATCAATGGGATGCGGGAAAACGAGGGATCCGCCACGTTCTCCGCGTTTCCCGCTTCTCTCTTCCCTCTCCTGCCTTTCTTTCCACCCCGCCGGATCTTCCGTTTCTCCTTTTGCCAGCTTGCCTGCCATCAAGCTGCAAGACACAGGTAGAACCGGAGCGAAAAGGGTGGAAAGAGGGAGAATCCTCGGAATTGACCTTCCTTTCCTCTTTTTTCGCCCTCGCTCTTTAGCAGTCCCACTCTGTTTTAGCAGTGGTTGCTGCGAGGTGTTGGTTTGCGAATGCTAAGTTTATGCTACCTTCAGCACTCCTCCCG